CACACACACACACACACACACACACACACACACACACACACACACACACACACACACACACACACACACACACACACACATTGCATAGTTGGTGTCAGTGAGCGTTTCTTGATGTGGTCAGTATTTACCCAATGGCATTCACTCAAATCCATCCTGGGGAGATATCAAGGTTCGACCTATGGATGAATTAATTTAGTGGAAGTTCAAAAAGAGCAGTCTGTCACACTCAGCCTTTGTTGGGTGAACTTGCATTTAGCCAAATTAATGTGCACCACACACCTGCGAATGCAAATCTCGAGCATCTGAAGATCACACAACTGCAAATCTGTCTGCAAAAAGAAAGTCCCATGTAACGTCCCATCAGCACCCGTCACAACAAGAAATTCCGAGGTTGAATGACGAGAACAAAAGGCTCTGTGGACGAGGAGGAGCAGCAGCATCGAGCCAGCAGCAGTGGCAGAAGATGAAGAAGAAGAGGAACAAAAGTTTGAAAAACAAGAAACAGCAAGGACAAAGAAGATCAAGAAGAAAATGTAAGGTGAACTGGATGATTCAGAAGACACGCTGCCAAAAGTAGTTTAACCTGGACAAGTCTTCATACCAGACCAGGCCCTTGCAAAGGCAGCAGGAAATGAGACTCACTAGATGGTGGGATAGATTGCGTAAGAATGATGATGAAATGCAACATCGAGACAGCACAATGATCTGTGAAATCAACACACTGTGACATCTTAGTGATGTGACTCATGTGAGCGATTCTGCTGTTTCTTTTCCACCAATGGACTTGAGGACATACCATAGCAGTCGACGACTCCATTGCACAGGTACCATTCAAACGGATGGTAAATGTCGTCATCATCCGGCCACCATGTTTGTTTGGCAGTGCACATCCGTTTGCTGGGACATTTTCCTCGGAGAGGCCCGCAGTCGAACGCCACACAGTGATCTCCTTCATCCGAGCCATCATCGCCTGCAATGCAAATGACGCACAATTCAAAGACCCGTAAAGATGCAGTTCAGGGGATGATGCACTTCAGACATAGCAATTTCAAACAACTGCCCCTTGGAGGAGGAGGCAAGTGGGACATGGAAGAGTAAAAGAACTCATGGACTACGAGATTGTGTGGTGAGTGAAGAGGTAGAGCTTAGCAAACTGCTAGTTCTAAGCGACGAACGCCGTGTCATCGATAATGCATCGGCTGGCTGTTCGCATCTCTCATTCGAAGAAATTAAAATCTGCAAAGGGTGGGGAGAA